TGTTAATTTAATTTTATTGAATGTTAGGATTTTGAAATTAAGGGGAGATGTAATATTGTTTTACATTTATTATATACTAGAATAATTTTTTTTTATAGATGATAAATACTAATAGATTTTTAATTTATGTATATGGACTAATTACCTGGTATAGGTAGCTCGAAAAACAGTCATGATTATCTGTAAAGGTGTCAATCATATGATATGTACTATAACCAATATTATCTTCAATTTATATCAAGGTTGACTTTAAAAGATTAAAAATGTTAAGCATCTTAAAGCAGTATCAACAAAAGATAAAATTATTTATTATAAAAGTGTTGGAGACATTTTGTCCATAAGTTTCTTAAACCCATCTACACGCGATCTAGATCTATCAATGAGCTGAGATGATACTCATCTTTCTCAAACTTATATGAATATTATAGATCCAATCTTAAGTTGGATAAGATAAGAAAAGTATTAGATATAATTACATATTATTAGATATTATATTATTAGATATTATGATAATTGTGGATAAATACGTATTTAGTTTAAATGTTAAAATACATTTGCTATTTGTGATTTAATATATTATATATTGATTATGTGAGTTGTGTTTTAATGATAAAAAAATATTTTTTTTTATTACACAGATTATTATTATTATTATTATTATTATTTTTCAAGGGAATTGATTGCAAAATAAACAACCCCTAGACATCTATATTGAAGGAGCCGTTGATACCGTTTGTAAAACGCAAGTCGTAAATAATAATTGCAACTCGTGTATCTTAGATATTTATGATTTTCTTAACTGTACTTAGATTTATATTTATTTATTTATTTACCAGTGTTATTTTACAAATTACTATTTTTAAATATTCTAACCCCCAAAACAATCCGTTTAGTCTTAGCTCATCAGCAGTAATTAACAATTCAATTCAGTAAAACCGACGTACCGACCAACTTGACAAGCTAGCATTTGAACTCTATGAAAATAACACGCCCGCTCCTTCTGCTGCGCTTCTTTGCCTTGCCCTCACCTTCGTTTTGTTTAGTGTTCGGTAATATTTTAAAATTTATTTTTTAATATTGTTTAAAAACAAAAAATTAGAAGTTTAAAAAAAATAAAGCTTTGAGGCTTTTGAATATGTTATAACATAAAACTATTTGAACATCAAATATTACTAAATACAATTGTGCAGATATAATATCTAAGGTGGTGTTTCAAATTATAATAACAGTTATTTTTAAAGTGTATTTTATTTTGAAATGTATTAAATTAAATTTATTTTTAATATTAATATATCAAAATAATTTAAAAATAAAACAAACACAAATCAAAAGCAATTTTTATAATGTGTTATAGGATAACATTTATGTTTTCTATTATAAAACACAATAAATTTCAATAGCGTATTTTTTGGTCATCAGATTTTTTTCATTATATCCTTATTTCTATTGTGTGTTGTTTTTGAGTTGGTGGTATCTTATATTTCAGTTGAAGGTTTGATGTTTCTAAAATTTACTAGATGTAGATTTAATAAGAAAACATTTGAATTTATAGTATAAAAACACAGTAAAAAAAAAAAGTGAGCAAATTGAAAGAAAAAAAAACAGCACGGCTTTTCTGGAATTTACATGACTGGATTTCACATGGAAAAATGCACTTTTATCCACATATTCTCCGTTGATTTCTCTTTTGGTCCCTTTGATTTTAGCATTTGATGTTTTGGTTTAAAACTTATTTTTATTCACATTTCAGTATCTAAGTTTAAGAAAGGTAAAAAAAAGTTATTAGAAAATAAAAAAGAAAAGATAAAAATGCCGGTTAATCATATTGTAATAACAAAAATACTGATGTTAGTGTAAATAAATTTTATTTTATGAGAGAAGTTCAATTTAAATGTTTTTAATCTTTTATATTGTCAAAAAAAGAGATTAGGGTCCAAGATTTTTTTATTTGGGATTGTTTTTAGTTTTTGACCGATTAGAGATTGATTTGAAGTTGAATATGAGTTTATTAAGATTATTAAGATATTTTTTAAAAAAAATTTCAAGTTAAAAAAAAAACTGAACACATAATTTTTAGATTAAATAAGGCAAAACTCAACTTTTCATTCAATTAAAGTGGCCAAAAAATATCATACTAGTGACCAACAACCAATAAGTAGTCTACTTTCTTTTTTTAATGGGTTGACAATATATTGTTAATCCATTTTAAACAATAAAAAAAAAATGGGTAGGTGCATATGTTAATGACCTTGCATGCTCACACATATTTAACTTTTTTTTTGTTACAGGTCAGATGCATCAGGCCACTCAAGCACAAGTGTTTGTTTTTTTTAAAAGGTATTTATGACTTTTTATAAAAGAAAAATTCAAGTTAAAAAAAAACTGAAAACATAATTTTTAGATTAAATAAGACAAAACTCAAATTTTCATTCCATTAAAGTGGCCAAATGGCCAAAGAATATCATACTAGTGACCAACAACCAACAAGTAGTCTACTTTCTTTTTTTAATGGGTTGACAATATATTGTCAATCCATTTTAAACAATAAAAAAAAGATGGGTAGGTGCAAATGTTAATGACCTTACATGCTCACACATATTTAATTTTTTTTTTGTTATAGGTCAGATGCATCAGGCCACTCAAGTACAAGTGTTTGTTTTTTTTTAAAAGGTATTTATGACTTTTTATTTTTATTCTTCCTTCTATTTTGATTAAAATTCATTAAAAATTAATTAAAATAAAGATATTATCTCATAAAAATTGTTCAAATTTTACTTAGTTTTTTAATAAGATCATAGTGTTTTTTTTATAATATTAGTGAGTGTTTTTTTCATACAACCTTCATGCTTTAAAAAAAAATCATTTACTTTTCAACATATGTTTTTTTTACCATATAATAAAGTAAAAAGTTATATTGATCCACTAGAATTTATAACTTAGGTCGTTGGTTTGGTGAGTTGACTATGATGAACTTGATCTATTTTTTCTTTTTTGGTGTTTTTTCTTTAAATTTACCTAACCAACAAGGTTATGTTGATATATCTCCCACATAATTTAATTTAAGATTCAGGCTAAATAAAGAGTTAAATCAAGTTTAATGACAATACTAAAAAAAATTTATAATCTAAATATTATTTTCTTTACGTTTCAAAAAAGTTTTTTTTTTATAATCTAGATATTATTTTCTTTACGTTTCAAAAAAGTTTGGTGTAACCATCAGCGATAACACGAGCAATAAACTATTTATATTTTACATGCCAAAAAACAAAACCTTCTTATAAGAAAAAAAATTGGTTTCATATACATTTTTATTGCTAAAGGGTATTGTATTGGATTTTAAACTTTAGACTTTTTTTTCATATTTTAGAACTAATTTTAATATCTCCTTTAAAAATTGTGAAATTGTGCTGATTTACATGTGTAAAACTCAGTAATTTTAACACTTGAAGCAAAGAATTGTTTGGACGGCTTTCCCCTTAATTTGCCTAACACATGAAGTATGAATACCCTTGGTTTTTTATTCAATACTATATATAAAAGTATGAATTATGAGTTGAAACAATTCGAATCAATTAAAATACCCTTGGTTTTTTATCAACTTAATATCTAAGATAGAAATCTTATTATTTTTTCTTATGAATTATTTTTCTAAAGAAATTTAATACTTTTTACGCTTATAATTTTTCCTTTTTTTCATTTAAGTAATTATTAGCGGTTGTATTTTCTTTTTTATAATTAGTCATAATTGTAATATTTTTTATTCCTTTAATTAAAAAAATCTAATACCTTTTCCTTTTTTTAATTTTTTGTTTTATAATATTATTGTGTTTTTATTCTTTTTTATTACGAATTTAAAACCATTTTTCATACTACCTTGATAGATAGTTGGGAGACTTTTTTTTTTTTGGGTTTGCTCATAATATTTTGCCCATGAACTCTATAGATATCCAATTTTAGCCGTAGCTTTTGCTTCTGTCGGAGCTTGACAGAAGATTCAGAAGCTCAAAACCATGAGCTCTCTCAGACTGGATCTGCGTTCACAATTCAATGAACTTCTTGGGATGGTAAAAGAGCAGAAGACTTTTCCTGCACACATTTTTCCCTGCCCTATGAAGAAGTATGAAGAAAGCAAAGGCAGTACCGGTGGAGACTTTGGGTTCTCTTTTCTTGTTTCGACGGTGACTGGGCACAGGGCAGCATTGCTGTGAGAATAATGCACTGTGGACAGGCTCATCCTAGCTGCCTGCACACTCTAGGACACAGCAAGCAATCATTGTAAGAGCTAAGAGGTCATAAGTGTATGAATTATTGTACTTGCCGACAACAATGAGGTGGAGAATAAATTTATGTAGCTCAGGCCTTGAGTTATGATTCTGTCCATGCATATGCTAAAAAGTCCACAAGCATGCACCGTCTTCCCAACTCCATTACCAATACTTGAAAAGTTAAAAGTGCAAGAATATTTACAGCTTTAGATTCCTTTTGCACATATGCCTGACTTGACTAATTGGGGTTCAAGATGCAACTAAAACACACAGTAGAGATGTAAATCAGCAGATGATCATGGATACTTCGATTATAATTCAGAGAACAAAATCTAGGAATAGCACAAAAACCACTGGTTGTCTGTGTGGTTAACAAATGCCATACGAACAAGGAAAAAGAAAGTTGCCTTGCAGCACCACAGCTAGCACACAAGATTTTCCTCACATGAGTGAAGGTTGCTGGAAATGGCACCATTAAATTCAGAAAGCATAAAATGGATGTGCGTGTGTGTGTGTGGCGATCAGTAAAAAATTGGCAACCAGCTGCGTTTACATGGATCCATCTAAATCAACTTGCAGCTTCATACAGGTAGGTTACACTTTTTAAATTTAAGCCATGAGAGAGGATTCGCCTCATCCTCACACGACCAAGAAAGTGGAGTAGCATGAAAACAAGCAAGCAAACAACTTCACAATTAGAGCTTCATTCAAATCTAAGCATCTAGCTCTGGAAAATTTGCCAAATAATCATCGTATAAAGGAGAACTGGAAGAAAACCATCCAAGACCATCAACGTTTGATCAAACTTAGAGGCATTATACCAGTATAATTTGGATTTGAAATGACAAGAGCCTACCACAATACTAAAGGTGCTGTGTTAGATAAGTGTCTCGTTTCCATGAGTTTATCCAGTACATAAGAGGCAAAAGAAAGAAAATCTAAGCAATTCACATTTGCATCAGAATACATCTATAAGATTTGGGCACCAAGAGCTTGAAAAATCATATGTACTGAGCATGAGAATGTACAACTTCAACGTGGAATATATGTCATGGCTCTGATGATGGCCTCGCTAGATATTGTTGCCACTCTTCAGGCATTCCCTTTCTCATCCTCAGCATCCTTATTGCTGCACTTGTTAAGGGTATGGCAAGTATGTCATAATCTTTAGGGGCCTGCAAGATAAAGGGTAGAAATTCTTCATAAAATATTTCTTCTGTTCAGCTGATGAAACTTCATGTTTGGGTCAGTTTTACATGGATGATCATTGCCAAAAGTCATCTGGTTTTCGTTCAAAACGAGAAAAAGGTAACACTGCTAACTACTTGTAGCCACAACATGCAATATCACAGTTTTCCATGGACCTATACTTGAGTTACAACCATTCATTCTTGTAATAATATCAGAACTAAATAATACCTTAGGGACCTTACTCAGCTTCATGTTTGCTTCCTCTGGAGTTTTTTGACCCTTCTTTGAGTTGCATTTGGCACAAGCAGCAACCTGTTACAAGAGGCCGAAACTGTGAAGAATTTCAAAATGCCAAAAGTAAAACTACATCAAGTTTTCAGTCTTCCTTTTCGTCTCTTGATTCCTTCCATGTCCTCCATACATTGTATGGCCATCTAGCTTATATGTGTTTCCATTATAATTAACCAGAAAGGGAAAAGAAAAACAAAAGTTTGAAAGTTAATTAACTCTTCCAACATAACATCAACACTAGCAGTCATAAGATACTGGATGTATACAGAAAGATTTGACGATTAGTTGGAAGATCAATAACAGCAATGAATCCTTACAAAGTAATCCCAATAAGTTTGAAAGAATAAATCAAAAGGAAAGGGAAAGTAAGGACAAGCAAAGTTACCAAACAGATATTAGATTGTATTCTCTTGTCGGCATGTTGTGGTGTCAAGAAACTCTTTCCTTTCTTTGATTTCTGTTTCTCCTTTCAAATAATCTTTATTTGCATAAAAAAATAAAATAAAAAAGACTTTCCTAGACTTGCAACTAGTATCTTACCAGATTTTCCCATTTCCATTCACCTCCTCGTGCAGTTGGCAGAACATGGTCAATGGTCAAGTTCTCGCGAGAAGAACAATACCTATTCACAAAGGGAGTTCTTAATTAAACACTAAGAAACACTTAATTATGATCATGCATGCCATTAGTATATTTCTTCCTGTACATAATAACTTCATTCAGGATGGAAGGAAACAACAAGAAACTGTGGAAACAAAACAAAAACATCTGAAAGAAGTGCTTCCATCTTCCAAATGACATGGATCACAAACACATGCAAATCAATCAAAATACCAAGCACCTTTTATTTTTTTCCTCCTTTTCATTTTAAGTGAAGAAGAAGTAATGATGACTTTTGTGTCCACCTAACAGCACAGATAGAATCTTCATCAAGAGGAACTTATCAATCAATATCCACATTAAAAAAAAAAAAACCCAAAACGATCTGATAGCCATGAAAAGGGAAAGAAAGATAAAGAAGCTCCATTTTTAGAACTCAGGTTGTAAAACTTGAGCTTTTTTTCCTTCACTTGCTAAATCAATGGATTTTGCAAATTGGGAGCGATAATACTAACAAATTAGAAGTCCTCGGGTATATTTTGATGTTGAATAACCTGGTTAAAGAAAATGACATTCTGGTCTCCAAGGGACCCACAGCTCCACAATTATAATGCCATAGTGATTCTTGATTCTATACACACAAGTATACAACAATCACTACATAAACAGTCATTTATATGATTCTTCTCTGCACGGAGAATCTCATCCTAAAGTTTGAAAAGTATAGGCTGCATAAAATTCAGCATTGAAAAAGTAATCCTTCATGAAACTTGCACTCATTTTAATGTCAATATGGCATATTTCTCTGTCTCGCCAATTGCATGCCAGTACCCAGAACCTTTTAGTATAGTAGCTCACTGGCTGGGATTATTCTGCAACTTCTAAAGTTTGCTGGGTTTTCTAAATGCATCATAAGCACACAAGCATGGACCACATCGAGGGAACAAAGCAAACCAATTTATTAGCAGGTTTCCACATCCCCTGTAGATTAAGAGAGAACAAAGGCATTTGTCCTCGGCACGTGGGTCATATGCATGGGTGTATAATGCAATCGCTAGCTTGTGTGTGTGTGATAGTAATGCACAAAGCTTTGAAATTAAGAGGCGTTTCGTAGTTTCACTGACTTTCAAAGATGACTTTATCTTCAAATTTAGCCACAAAAAGGGTATCTAGAGAGAGATTCATTAGGCTAAGATATATCTTCATGAAAGAAAGAACCATCTTTCTAACTTAAAAATGAATAGGACTTTCAGTTAAACTTTAAAGAAACTTGAGAAGCATGGATATTAATTCCATTCCAGCAGGAAGCCCACATAAAATTGAATCTTGAAATACTGGAAAAGAAGTTGTTGAATCAGAGGGGAGAGCATCTGCATTACTGTCAACTCCCAACAAAAAGATTTTGGGTTTCTTCTTTCATATGCAACCACGTTTTCCCTACTGTTGATACAGTGATTGTTTCCTTCCTACTACATGAGCGAAGAACCTAAGATGACTACGTTTCAAATAATTGAAAAAAACATATCCCAACGTGCGTCCTTACAGAGACCAAATCATCATCTAACTAAGCAATAACATATGCAAATGCCATCTCACACAACACTTCAGTGTCTGTGTCTGTGAAGCAACAGATTAAACTTGAACTAATATGTCGCAGGCTACTTACTGACAAGTAAAGTTGTCCCTATAAAGTATATTCTTGCGACTAAGGTTGCTTTTGATTCTTCTTCTCTTAACGACCTGTAGTAGATGTGGAACCTGAAAGCAGAAGTTTACAGTAAGTTTGAGTGGAACAGGAAGCAAGTGAAGAAGTAAGAACATTTTAGCAATGAAAAGGTTGGACTTTGAGAGAAGATGACAAAAAAAAATAATGATGAGAGAACAAAAATATATCCAGGAACTGCAAAGGGATGGATGGGAAAAGAAAAATTAGATCATATGCGGCCCTCGAATTCTTACCCTTAATACAGCTGGTATGTAAAAGGATCCGCTTGGGGAATTTACAGCCTGATCATAATATTCTAGTACATCAGCCTGGAAACAGAATGGTAAAGAAATCAAGGACCAAATGTAAAGCATAACTTGTATGCAGTTGTGAGAGCATGTGTGCATGAGTTGGGGCTGGGAGGTGGTGGTGGGGGTAGGGGTGGGCGTTTTTAAGCTAAGAAAATAAAATGTGGTGTCAATATGTTTACAGAATAGCAGGAATGAGGGAATAAGTGGTATTGTTTCAGAAACAAGTTAGTCATAGCTATCATATCATGTACCAGCATGCTTCCCACCAATGCTACATGATCATTCTTTGATAAGCTAAAAACTTAATTCGCATTGTCATGTTTACTAGTTTTCCTTGTGGTTGATACAAAATTTGTGTGGGAAACTAACTGCGTAAGCTGAAACCATGAACTACAAACTGTATATGACTGCTGTTCAGAAATCTAAGTGTATTAGGAAGCCAGATTGGTCCGACCTTCTCCATGAATTCCAAACATATAGCACGCCTCCAGCACACAACATTGACTGGCCTGGTGCAGGACAAGAACAATCAGATCCATGTACAAACATCTATCCAAATATTTCTAAATTGGTAGAACAATGAAAAAGGAAAAAGAATAGAAAGTGGCGATTCAGTCAAGCATTTCCAGAAAAAAGAACTTGTAGCTTCGATCTTCTGTCCTGTTCTACTGATGTTGAAATGAAGTGCAGAAAGGAAGTGGGATACAGAAGTTAAATGGAAACTCACAATCAACAAAGATAAATGAGGTCAATTGGACTCTAAGACATCAGCAGAAGGTTATTAACCATGTGCCAGAGAGGTTTTAAGAAACGTGAATCGGACACAACATTAACCCAAAGCTATTCTTTCTGCAAACACCAATCTTCCGTTATTTGAAACCATCATTCTAAGAGGAACATGAACTACACTTCTGACTACAAGTCCACAAGCATTGCTACCCATTCTCAGTCCATCTTTGGCAAATCTAGAGCACAAGCAGAGCTTTGATGCAAAATATTCATAGCAAATCACATTTAAGTGATCGGCATATGTTCCAGTACAGTAGAATGCTAAGCAGTATGCACCAAACCTCACATTCGCTATTTCATCATAAAATCAGCTAGTGCAACTTGTCAAATGACATTCGCTTAAAACAATGACCTTTCGATCCATGAATTGTTATTCTATGTTTTGGGTTCAATTCATGATCAAACAGTAGGGGAAAAAGAATAAAACAATTCTTAGATAACTGTCTAAAATGATTTAAACCAACACTTCAAGAAACCTACTCACTAGTTCAAAATAGCGAGCATCTCACGCATCATGCAGTGAAGCAGTCCACTTGTACACTAAAGACCAAACACACAGCATGACATTAAATAAAGAATCCAATCAATATTATCAAAGAAAGCAAAAAAAAAAAACAAAACAAATATCAATATTTATATAAAGAACCTAGTCAAACAAACAATAAATAAATCGATACCAACAAGTAAAAGAAGTAAAAGAATTATGTGGATTGAGAGACATGAGGTACCTGTAAGAGATATCCAAGACAAGGCCTCTAAAGCAAGCTAATTCATCCCTCTCATAATCTTCTTCACTATCATCATTAACCTCGCTAACACTTTGACTTGCCTCAGTGTAAAAATGCTTGGGTTTCTTGCTCAATGAAGAAGCAGCATATAACCTTGTACCACTAGTACCGAGAAACCTGATTTTTCTCTTCTGACTCTGAAATGATCTCAACCCACCAACAAAATCATTCCCAAGAAGTTTCCAGCTAGCCCCATCATTGTTAAACGGGAACTTCAAGCGACCATGTGCTGTAAATTGAGCCATCAACTACTTTACACTACAAGAAACAAAAAGATTGGCAGAGGGGAAGAACACTGCTTTCTTGTTTGTGCTTTATAGATGTTAACGTGAGAAATGAGAAGGTGTTGCTACAAGTCTTGATTGTGTAGGCGTTTTGAAGGTTTTGGTTTCTTGGAAGTAACAGAAAAGAAAAATCTTCTCGGAAAAAAAAATGTCTGCTTACAGAAAAAACCGTTGCCACATGTTAATACACATGTGCCTTTCGTTCTCTTCTCTATTCCTCGAATATCTTCTTTGAATGTGGTTGAATTTACAAATCTGCCATTCTTTTGCTCCTTGATTTTGTTGCTGCTTCTATTGGTGTGGTGGAAGGGCTTGTCTCCTTCCATTGCATCTGGGTTCATTGCTGGTTTTATTGGTGGAAGGGGCTTGTCTCCTTCCATTGCATCTGGATTCGAGTCCTGGTTTGTACGTCTGTCATCCCCGCGGTGCCTTACATGCCTACTAACAGTGCAAGAGAGTTTCACTTCAAATTTTGGACTTTTATTTGTCGACGAGAAAATGAATATTCAGTGGACCATAGGGATTAATCGTGGTGCGCGTAAGCTGACCCGGACATTCCACGTAAATAAAAAAAAAAATTGGACTTTTATTTGTCGACGAGAAAATGATTTCTTGATTTGTATATGATGGCTCTGAAAAACTTTAATTCTTCAATATATATATATATATATTGCCCTGGTTGCGGGACTCTACCCACGCGGCCAAGCTGCATGGCCACGGGAGCTGTGCCCACACTGGCCCCAGACACTCTGCTCTCTCTCTGTTATTATTATTATTTTTTTCCTTCCTTGGTAAACCAAGCATCATAGCTTCTCCAGTTGAGGCAACCTACATCAAAAAATGCAGAACACCCCCCTCGCAAACAACAACGTTCCTTCCCCATATGGAGTTCACACTAACCAAACAAATTAGCACTCCCTTCTTTATTTTATTCCTCTTCTGTACATTTACTGATTTAAGATCCAAGAGTCTCATTGAAAGACCTGCTTTTTAAAGTCCACATGCCAGCAAAGGACGCAGCCAAGGGAAATGTCATATCTGTACTGGCAACTCTCTCTTTTCAACTTCGCTATGTTATCTAACCGACAAAATAATAGAACGACAATATTAATCACCCGCTAAAAAGTTGACGAAAATGTTGCCACTTGAGAGCGTGCTCATCAAAGAAACATACGACTTATCAAACCACAAACATCCATGATAAATTCTGAACAAATAGCCATTGCACAGGTTGTCCGGTTGTGATCAACATCTTATCAGAGATAGATCTCTCATTGCTCATTACTGTACAAAGTAAGTTTCGAATGCACACTTAGCTAGTAGGTAGACGCAGCTAAACAAGCATGAACAATAAGGGTTAGAAACACGGTTCGAGTCAAAATTGGAACTAAGTTTTTAACATTAAAATTATCCGAGTGTAATCCGCATTGGCTAACAAACAAAAAACATGTTATTCAGTCCCCCGCCCTTACCTTGCAACTACGCACCTCACTAATTACACATTACAAAAGCACTTTCCACCAGGACACACCCCACTTTTGGTGGGTAAGAGACCAAACACATTAGAATACAGCGACAGACCCGGAGCCATGAAGGCTGTGTCACAGCTTCACTTATGCACACTTGGACCCACATCATCCATGACTATCCACAATAACACCAAAGCCCCATTTCAAATATGTATCTGCGAACCAATAGAAAAGGCATACAGATTAAGCATGATAAGAGTTAAATGATAAGGTATAAAGCAGGGCACAGAGATTAAGAGGCATACCATTGCTGGACTTTCCTGAACTCTGTAAGGACAGGGTATATATTTTCAAAGGCTGTGTATGTCTCATCTCTCACCTAAAATGTCAAACAAACAGAAGTATCAGCAACCAAACTCCATCAGTATGCAGATCACAGATGATGAACAAGAGATCTTTGGATTTACCTTGGCTCCAGTGATCACAATTTTTCCAGAGACAAAAATAAGGAGCACGATCTTAGGTTGTTTCATGCGATATATTAGACCCGGAAAGAGTTCAGGTTCATACTGCATAAATAGATCACAACTAAGGCTTATACTGCATAAATACAACACAAGGCCTACACAAAGCACATCCTTTAGACTTCATACTTGCACAAGAACAGCACAAGAGTTCTAAAATTCACACTAATCGATTACAAGACAGGCACAAGAGTAAGGCTCTGTTTGGCAGCAACAGCTGCTGAAAGTGATATTAGTAAAACACAGTTTCCGCTGTATACTTTCGACTCCCTTAAGCAGTAAGACCCATAAATCCAAAGCTATTTAAAGCAGCACTCTTCCCGCTAGGCCAAATGGAGCCTATGTTCAACAGAATATGGCTTTTACTTACACTTGAGAAAGCACCATGGGAGTATGCAAGCCCTTCAAGTCTAATGGGAAACTTGACATCACAGGAGCCAACAATATTCTGAATCTTGAAGTCCTGGCAGTTGCAATGAGGAAATTCAAGCAAGAGAGGAACTTCAAAAGACAGCTCAAAACTAACCAGAAGAAACTTATTTGTGTGTGCATAAGAGAGAGAGAGAGAGTAATGACACCTTAAATTTGGCAGCAAAGCCAAGCTTTTGGATGATTCGAGCATACTGGGAAAAAAATAGATTAAATTTTGAATGAGAATCTTGTCAAAATAAAAGCATTTCAAGAAAAACATGCAAGTCCTGTTATACTCACACATATCTCCATTCTTCACTTCAGTCTATGGTTTCACTCTTCTATGAGAAACAACAGAATGCATTTATTTGTAGGAGAATACTACTGAATAATGTTTTCCACATGATGACTATGAAAGGTCCACAAAAATCTTCCTACCTATGGGTATTTGTGTGTCACGAGAAATTTATAAATGAATATCTAGTTGTGATATATTGTTTACCAAACGGAAGATAGAGAAAACTAGATTTAGTTTTAGGAAGAAATTGTTAAGAGACCATCCTGAAATAAAAATATTGTAAAATAAGAATTAAAAGTTTCTGTTTGGAAGGAAGTGGTACAAATTAACACTGGAGTCAACTTTCCTTCTTTGTGAAAAGATACAGAAAACATACAAATTTTCCTCAACAAAGAGGGCAATACCTTTCTTGCAGCCAGTTTAGATTGCTGTTCGCTCTTGGCACCTGTGCACACCTGATACAGCAGGAAAACAAACTCTTTCAGACAAAGGACTACAGGAGATCACCAAAATATACAGAAATAGAATTATCACCACACAATGATTTTGGCTATGATACTGAAAACCCACAATCTTCAATAAAAGCAAAACTCAGACACCTTCCAGAGTTAAAACAGAATAATACAATATTCAACACCTCAACTCAACTGAACATCATTCACAAACTGGATAAATTGTTGGAATGCACCCTTTTCATCATTCAGTTTCAATATGGGCTAAACTTTTTATATGCCACTGTAATGCTAGATCAGTATTTAATTATTTATCACTTCAATCAGCAGCAGTTTGTCGAACCACCTAAATCCCTCCTCACTCCCAAAACTTTATTCCAATCACCTTTCCACATCAATGCAACTAAGGGTACATGCTTTGTAAGGCCAGGCCAGGCCAGGCCATCCCAAATAAACATCCCTTAATTTATCATCAATACACTTAAATCTATCCTTAAATATTATACAGTTCTTTCCTGCAATTCTACGCATGACTTTTTTCAATCACATAACACTCAAGTCACAATGTTCCATTTCAAGCAACATTCATTCAAACCATTGGTAATATAACAAATCCATGTAGCATACATTGAAAGCAACAGCCAAAATACAGCCATCAGTAAGCATAACTTTCAGAAGCAGATAACTCACCATCTTGCCAGAGGCAAAAATCAATGCTGTAGTTTTTGGTTCCCTAATCCGCATGATGACGGCAGCAAAACGCTGGGTGAACATGCATAAAAGGTGAGGGACCACATAGACCAAAAGCAACAGAGTTTGTATCTGGAAGTTATCACAGGCATACCTTGGGATTATATTCTGCATTACGAGCTTGCAGGGCAATTTGCTTGAGTTCCAGCTTGCAATCCAAGTTCACTGTTGAAACAATGTTCCTAAAAGTACAGGGTTGAAACCATAACCATAAAATGCCAAAATTTAACATAGATCACTCAATATTGATGAATCATTTTTGGAGGAAAAGAAAGAATATGGTGAGCCAAAAACAAAATAAAGCATGGGAAAAGACAGTGGAATGTCAAATCTAAATATTGTCAAACAAAGCCACTTCTTGACATTTATCTTCGTATTGGGAAAGTCAAAACTGAATTCATATGTGAGAAACACAACAATTTTATACAATCTCTCCAATGTATAATAACTCAACACCTCTATTTGAGCTCCATACCTCCTGATACCAGGTTAAAATTTAAAGTTAGAACACATAACCAAGAGCACATATTTGTTATAGATGATTTTAGCTGTGAGGTAATGCATCAAATTAACAACAGGACCTCTCTCCGACTAACAAACGAGGCATAGTACAAGAAGACATGGTTTTTAAACATTTTAGCTGCCACATGTACGCAAGGTGCAAAAGATCCTCAACTTCCTGGAAACTTGCCTCTAGCTTAACAGAAGTAAAAGTAGTTCAAGTAGCTACAAAGCAGCTGCGGAAAATTAATTGACAAATACAGAAAACTATGTTTCTATTTTATATAGTTATTTTCTCTCATTGTAACAGGCAGATTATAACAAGTCAATAACAAACCATATAACTTTATCCTCTAGAGGTAAGCCACAGAATCAGGAACTGTGGCATAGCAAAGAAGGCTCTATGATTGTAGTAGGCGAGTAATGTCATTTCAAGCTTGATTTAAGTCACCTTGTATGCGAGTTTCTTATAAAGTCTGTAATAATTTAATTTCTTTCTTATGCCTCCAGTATGAGACAAACATAAACTTGTTCGACTCTACCTGTAAAACTCCTTTTGCATTGTCAAAAGCTAGTCAGGGAACAACTTCACATTGCAAGCAAAGATCATCACATGCAAATCTGTTTTATAAAGCTTCAACTTTTAATCGAGAACAACTTCATTCCATATAGAAAACAACAATTTTCCATATGATTACTCATCATAAATATAAGCAATAAATAACAAGCATGTTGCTTAAGTTTATTATTCAATAAAGGTTCATTTACATCTGCACATTGGCAAAGAAACCCCACTTCTTCTCTTCCGCTTCTCATTCACAATATTTAACAAACATCAAACGAAGGTTCTTTTCCTTCGACAATTACATACGTCAAAAAACCCAGCTCCGCCACTGAAGCCTTCCCCAGTGTTAAGCCCCAAGCACTGATCAACTTACATTAAAAAAAAAAAAACACTTCACAGCCTTCAAAAAGCTATTACAAACAACATATTCGCACTCACTACTTTCTTCTCCTTCCAATTTATAAACATCACCACAACCACACAAGCCTTATTTTAGGAAAATTAAACAAACACAACTGCAATCAACCCAAAAAACGCAAAGCTTCCACAAATTCTTCACATCACCTAGATCAAAACACACATGTAGGCATACCCAAAATACAAACATAAAGCAAACAGCTTTGATTTATGGAAAGAAAAAGGCAAAGGGACTTACTGGAGGGTGGGAACAATGCCAGACGGATGCTTGGAGAGATCCACTGGCTGGCTACCTTCCAAGCCTCCTTGCTCTGCCATTTCTTCCTTTTGTGTTCCACACTACCCCAATAATCCCTCAACAAAAACACAATATCAATTTATTTATTTATTTTTTCCTCTTTTCACACCTAAAAACCGGGTTTTTTTATCTAGGTTTGTCCTTTGACGACTAAAAAATAAACTTCTATATCTGGGTTTTTGTTTCAACAGCTAAAAACTGAATCTTCTTATCTGGGTTTTCGATTTCACAGCCAAAAAAGATGAATCCAACCTCGTTAATTAATAAAAAACACAGATCTAACCAAAAAGATTCAATTTTGAACTGTTTAGTCCCAACCCAGTAACCAAAACCCTGAATCAAGCGAAAAATAAGGTAAATCTAGGGTTTGTTCATAGATTAAAGAGCCAAAAGTTAGAGCTTTAAAAGGAAAAAAAAAATTAGAAAGAAAATAAAGAGAGAGGGAAGAATTTGAAAAAAGGTTCTTTTATAGGTTTTGATCTAAAAGAGAGAAAGATATAAATGAGAGAGATTTGAGGGCTGCGTTGTTTTGGGTTTGGATTTTGGTCTGGTATGGTCTTATCCTCTAATTATGAGAGAGAGAAGGGGGGGCAGGCAGGTGATGGAGCTGGTGGATGGTGAGGGGGGCTTTTGTACCCTAGCCAGGGTTATTTATAGCGGTGACTGGTTAATGGGAACTTGATCCGGTAATGGGCTTGAGGTTACCGGGTGGTGCCGGTTGGAAGGGTAAGGTTGGGAGATTGGGGAAGTTTTTGTGAGTTTACTGTTTTAGCCTCCATATGGGTTTCTTTGCGTGGTCAATTATGCAGGGTGTCGTTGGAAGTTTGGAGGGTTGATGGTTCTAGACACGTGGATGGTGAGATTGTGGTGGCGTGATAGATTTGTCGAGCAGAAGGGTGTGGGTCCCAGATGATGATGATGGTATGAGCTATAAAGCCTCTGGAAGCACCGCGGAAGACCTCCACGCGGTTTTATCCGATTTCTCAGTCTTTCTTTTCCACGAAGAGTGAGCTATGGACATTACCGCTTGTTTGGTAATGTAGTTATAATTATAATTATTTTTTAAAATATTTTTTATTTAAAAATATATATTAATAATATTTTAAATTTTAAAAATTAATACATTAAAATATTTTAAAAATATCAAAAATATATTAATTTATTATAAATTTTTAAATATTTTAAAAAATATTTTTGAAATACAATGTCAAAAATATATCAAAAATACTTTTAAAATATTTATTTTTAAATGATATTTTTAATATATATAGTATTGCATATTATTTTTTTATTTTATTTAATTAATTTAATATATTTGTCTATTTATATTATCGTTTGATTAAATAAAAATATTTTAATAAATAAAAATTAACAAACATGATCAAGTGAATGTTTCATCTTACAAGATTAAATATATTGATTTATATCTGTTTCTCGGTTTTTCAAATTTTATTTTTAGATATTGTTGATGATTTTTTATTTATGTAATAACACACATAATTCTTGGTTCATTTAATTATATGTATACATAAACTTTTTGATTTACACTTAAATTTTTTTAACTATAAAAATACATTAAAACAACCTTCATATATAATTTTTTAATGAAAAATAACAATATTTAACCTACAACATAACGTTGGTCAAATAACTAGTATCTTGTCTAAATGGTGTGGTCACCACCATCATTCTGTAGAGATCTCCAACTAAACAACTAAATCTAGTACCATTAAAAAACTCTCAGCTTCTAGCACACTTCAACATATTTTTCTAGTCTTGATGAGTAAGAATGAGGTGTCCACGAGTATAAACTAGTACATATATTTATTAACAAATTCTTTGCAAGTACAAACTTTTATGCAAGATGATACCATATTTTTAACTAATGGTCACAATACAACACACACCACACAAAATAGGCTTCTCATTTCTCGATCAATTATTATTTTTAGTCAACATGGCACTGATATTTACCAATCACTTCACTAATAATAGAGCTGGATGCTATCGATCAATGATGGACACTAACATTTTCATAATTAATTGTGATATCACTCCCCACATATCGAGGTAAGCTTGAGCTATCAAGGTCTATAAATATTTTAGATCACTAAATAAACACAATAAGTCATAATTTTCTCAAACTTTCTATAAATTTATATTTTATCTCATTCATAACTTCATCAGTAGCATTGTTTATTGGAACTAAATAAAAAGCTAGTTCATTCTTATTTCACACTTTTCACCTTTTACTAAAATATCTTTTTCCGTAATCAACAAAACTTCAGGATAAGAGAGAGTAAATAATCTATTTATCATAAGGAATCCAACTCCTTCAAGTTTTTGACACGATCAAAAAATTGATATCTTCTCCTAAGTGCAAGAGTGTTGAAGTAATAAATAACCCGACAAGATCAGGGTCGAACTACAGGAAGGTTAATTGTATAAATTATAGATAAAAATAATACAA